CCCGCCCCCGCGCTCCGCCGCCTGCAGTCCGCGCCCGCCGAGGTGAGCTGGAGCGCGGGCCGCGCTCGCCGCCCCGACCCCTTCCACATCCGCGGAAACCGCTGCCGGCTCCACCCGCCCCCCGCGCTGCCGTCGCCTCTTCTTCCCTGCTTCTTTCATCATCCCTCGCTTCCCTGTCCTCGGGTGGGAGAGCTCGTTCTCTTCATCCCCGGCCCCCTTGCTTTTACCTCTTTCTGGCTTTTGCTCCCCTCCCCCTACTCCTGTCCTTCCTCTTTTTCGCCGTATAACCCCCCATTTTCTTGCTCTCACCTTTTAAGCTCTTTTTTCTAGTCCCCTCTCCTTTTATTCTTAAAAAGAAAAAGAAAAAGGTAAAACAAAACCCTATTGCTGCACATGAGAATCGTGAGCGTAACTCTTTTCGCTAACGCCAGAGACCTTTTAAAGCAATGCATCGATGTGCAGGAATGGGACCGGTGGTGAGAAGCCCGAGGTGCTCAGTATCTGGGAAATCTGGCCGAGGGGTCCCTATTTCGGTGGTTTCACTTGTTTCACTCGTGTCGTCAGTTTGGAGAGACTAAGGGTGTCTGAAGCAAGTGGGTGTATTTTTTCTTCCTTGAAGTCCAAGTAGACGACCGCATCGAGACGCGGTGGTGACAGCAGTGATCAGTGAGTGGGATTGTATTATCATTTGCTAAATATATTGGGACATACCCCGTGCTTCGGTGAACAGCTCCCCTGACCTTGTGCGGTCCCTCCTTGCCTGTCCCTCTCTGGAATTTCCCGGAGAGATAACCAAGGTACTACACTGGGATCCTCGTTTTGTTTTGTTTTGTTTTTCCTTTTGTACTGGAGGCAGTTTCTGTGTTGGTAACTATTTAGATGTATTTAATACATTTTCCTTTTTAAGTGAATTTTTCTTTCACTCCAGAAAGACAAGACGGACTCCAGAGGGAGAATGGCTGTGACTTTGGAAGAAGCTCCCTGGCTGGGCTGGATCTTGTTGAAAGCACTGATGAGATTTGCCTTCATGGTCGCCAACAACCTGGTTGCTATTCCATCCTACATCTGCTATGTAATTATACTTCAGCCCCTTCGAGTGCTGGACAGTAAACGGTTCTGGTATATTGAAGGAATCATGTATAAATGGCTTTTAGGAATGGTGGCTTCCTGGGGATGGTATGCAGGATACACAGGTAAGAGTGAGAGCAGTTTTGTCTGATGCATATGAAGATATTTGTAACGTTATGCTTAAGTCAGAGCCATGATTACATTACATTACATTTTGGGTTGAAAATACTTTTATGCTTTGACTATTGAAAAGATAAATAGAAGACAGTTCTGTTGGCTTTCTCTTCAGGGACTCAGGAAGTCTGACGTTTTCGGAAGTATAATTTCATAATTATATGTCGATAAATTCTTTAAATAATATGTTTTTGATGTGATTGACATTCATTCATTAAAATAAGTCTGCAAAAAACTCTTGTAAAGGAATAGGGCTTTATATAGCACTTAAGAGCTTATAAAGTGAAGATGTAAAATTGGTAGCCCACAAACATTGGAAATTTAATATAATGCCTGAGCCATATTTGTGCTAAGATAGTTTAATAAGTTTTTTCATTTAACGTGATCTCATGCTGTGTTAATGGCATTTTAAGCCAAGCAACAAATGGCTTTGTTTTCTGTAGTTATATATTTTTTGTTTACTAGAATCTGTATTTTATCTCATAAACCTGGAAGTGTTAAATATAAAAAAATTAAGTAATCTGAGTAAACTAATTTATCTTCTAAGTGTCCTTAAATAGATTACTGTTTCTCCAAAACTGCATTTTGGGAATCAGGAGTTAACACTGTTCTGAAGTGGACTTTTATAGAATTAAATGTGTAAACCTTATGTGCTTTGATTCCTCAGCTGTGAAAATTCTGTATAGTTTATTGCATTTATTTAATTCCCGTCAAGAATTAGGATAATAAAACAAAATGAAATTTCTAGCACTTGTCGGACATGGAGGCTTTCATCACAGAGCTTTATAACTGGTAGGCAAGTGGAGATGCTGCTGCAGATGCTGCGGTCGGGATGAAATCGTGAGGAGGCCACTCTCAGGATCAAGCCTGTGGAAGTTCTCCATTTAAAATTCTTCGTCTCTCTCTTTCCTGCCTAGGCTGCATCTGCAGATTTTATCCACACACACAAGAAAAATACTGACAGTACACAGCTTTTATGGAGTCTGATGGAGTCTTGCTATGTTGCTCAGATGAAGCCTTTTCTCCTTCTGGCAGTGCCGTTTATTATTATGCAAGAGCTAAAGCCCCTGGGATAGTGTATACATTGCTTCCTTGTCACCTGTCTTGTGTTTCCAGTGCTCTTTAGATGCAGTAGGGAAGCGTCTAGTCCTTTTCCAGGATTTGATGGTAGCAGTAGCAGAGATAGAGAAAAAATGAAGTTCTAGTCTGTGTTGCTGAAATCTTACCTGAATTGTACTGCTGTCTTAGGGTTGCTTTGCTTGGTGTAGTTTGAGCATTCCCAGATATGCTATATGATAGTAGTGGCTTTATTCTTTCTATGGTATACTTAAGTTTACTTGTTTTAAATGAACTGATTGTATTTTCAGAAACCAGTTCTAGAAGTTCATTCTGCTTAAACACAGTGAAATTGCTGAAATGTTTGTGTTTGTGTCTGTGGTATATCTATAAGTGTTAACATGATGGGAAGGTGAAAAAATTTTGCTTGACATTGACCTTGAGGTCACAAGGAATGCACTGCTTGAAGTTAGTTATCCTGTGGCCATAGCATGGCTGCTGTGTATTTTGAAGCTTTTTTTCTTGGGGGTGTTTCTTCCTTGCTGACTATAGAACTGTATAGTTTATTTTGCCACCTGCTTGAGAAGTGGTCTTGGCACGATCTGCATATTTTAGTCTCTCTGAAGCATCTGCTCTTCTTTAGGCTACTGCGCTTTGATAATTTGATCAGTTTGTCATATTCAAATGTGGAATATTTTAGTGTGAATATTTTATAATGGGTTTCCTATAGGTAGAATACTTGATTTCAGAGGATCTGGTCATAGTCTGATTGTAATAGAATAAGAGATTAAACAAATATGTGAATTAATTTTATTGAAAGCCACACTAGGTTTAAAGAAGCAAACCTAAGCAGGGGTTAATGAACAGGTGTACCCATAAAAGCATGTTGGGGGTTATGTCAGCCTTTCTTTGGATTATGTATTTCATTTCTTCCCTTGTTATCAGAGGAGGGTGGGCTTATTAAGTTTTTAAGTTTTTTTTCTTTTTCCTATGCCTAAGTTTCACAGATGGAAAATTGAATATTGCCAAAGGAATTTTGCTCAGCAGATTTAGTATGTT